TTATGTAGTTTGGTTACATGTATGTATAATAATGTAAAATGTGTCAGACACCCCGACGGCAGCTGCACGCTGCGCACGCACGTGTGCGACCAGTGCGGCAAGGCCTTCTTCCAGAAGAACCACCTCATGCTGCACCAGCGACAGCACATGGACCTGCCTCCCAGGAATGTGAGCATCCACACCACACACACCACCGCCTTATCTCACATCTAAAAGCATAAACAGACACTACTCTGTGGCATAGGATCTCAGCAATCGTCGTGTATAATTGAATATTTTTTTAAAATTAAAAGCCTTACACTTACGACACATATTATCACACTATTAAACTTAAGGAGTAAATAATTTGGGAAAAACCTTCATGCGAGAAAGGGACAAAAACTACAAACTGATAGCAAGGAAGCAAGGTTGTCATGGTAACGGTAATCGTAATCGTATCCAATGTCAAAAGCCTTCGTTGTCATTTGTGCTTTTGAATTTTAGCATTTGCAATTGAATATTTAACAATGGAAACAATGAAATAAAGTTTTTATAATTACATGTGGATAAAGCCGCACGGAAACAGCTAGTATTGATATTTTACCTTGTTCTCTAGTCGCAAGTACTCCAGGCGACGCAGCAAGCGCAACAGCAGGCGGCGCAACAAGTAGCGCAACAGGCTGCGCAGCAGGTGGCGCAACAAGTCGCGCAACAAGTGCAGCAACAACAACAACAGCAGCAGCAACAACAGCAGCAACAACAACAGCAACAAGAACACCATCAAAACAACCTTGAAATGGAACAACAAGAACACCAACAGCCTACTCATATACAAGTGGTAAGTTGTACAGCACGAGTCAATGAGTGCCTTAGCGTAGGTTTTCTTAGTGAAATTATAGAGGCGCTGTACAAAAGATAATAGCACTTTGCGCTTTGGAAATACCATCGAGAACAGACCATTCTACAACATGTTAGAGCTGAATTTTTGATGTTTTCTTGTCCGAATTATTCAGTCAGCTTGTATTTCATGAAGCATATATTTGGGCTGGATACAGATTTGCGAGCCGCATTGCATGTGCCGCCGAAATCGAGATTTTTTTAAGTT